CCTCAATCGGACTATTGGTTGACGATCTGTAATTTCGATTGCCTGAACTCGCGTTTGAATCATGTGACATGGTACAACCTCTCTGGAATTGGTAAAATGATTATGTTGACATTCAAATCAACACCAAAACCTGTTCATGACAAATGGTAAATTATTTCAACAATTAAGAAATTATTCAAAACAACAAATACAGAAAGACAACAAATTTGCAACTATGTTACAAATTTGCAGCTTATAACTCCTGTTCTTATTAGGAGAAATAAGAGTCTTGTTCTTATAACTATCAGTATCAGCTGTTCATGATTCTAAGCAGCAGCATTCCTCAAATTTGCAACTTATAACTCACATTTAAGAAAGACAACAACCACAAGTATGTAAGTTAAAATAATTAGCAGCAAAATAATTCAACAATAAGTAAGGACAAGTTGGCATGGGCCATAAATTAATCAAGATAGTTGTCCATGATGTATATCAAGTTTTTTTTTTTCTGTTTTAAATACTTCCTAACTTCACAAATCCATCCATGCAAACCAATGAGATCCCACACTTAAACTTACAGGACCATACAGAGAGAAATCACAACCCATCAACAGAGAGAATTCAAAAATCAAATGCACAACTATGCTACCTGTATCAACATATATAACATTATAATTCACAAGTCACAAATTATATCTGAAATATAATGTCCAAAGTGAATCACACAAATTATTAGCAAAGCCCACAAAGCACCTCTGCGAGAGCATAAAAGAAATTCACACAAATGAACCAAAAATTTCATCATTTACAACAAACTTCAAACAAAACAAAATCACATTCACCAAAGACTTGTGTCTATGATCATCCAACAAGCCAGAGTACAACCTCAAGCATAACTTCATACATGTAAAACCTGAGCAGAGTTTCAGCATAAAATATCTCACTAGAACAACTAATTTTATCATTCCTTCCACAGTTCATGTGATCAACTAAACAGGAACAACTAAATGAAGTTATATAACTCATAAGCATCATAATAAGAAACCTCTACCAATCACTTGAAGCAAAATAACAGACCATCTTCCACAAGTTCTACAAATCTCATTCAGACAAGTAAGCTGGAAAACCAAATACAAAGACTTACAAATAAAGATCCAGACAAGTATGCTGGCAAACTGCAACAAGTAGATACATCAAACTTAACCACATATTTCAAACCTTCATTCAAAAGAAATGATAGATGATACCATTCAATACACGCAGTTCTTGGAGGAAAATGTTATCCAGTATTTGCTAAGACTTATTCCAGAAAAAGAAAACCAGAATATCACGAACCCATACCTAAACTGCTCGTAAGGATACAAATTGTAAGGTACATAACAATTTCATGTAAAAAGTTAGTGTTTTTTGGTGTACCGTCGGCCTCTTCACTCTCTGTCGTTATCTTCACTCGCCGTCGTCCACCTTCAAAACGCCCAGAGACTGAAAAAAATAATGTTAAAAATTTTACATCAAACCATGTTAAAAATCTCAATCTATAACAAAATCTATCGCAACTTTATCAAACAAATTCATAATCGAACCCCTGTGCAGAACACAAATTCTCAGGTACATAACAATCTAAAGTTAAAAATTAGGGTTTTGGGGGGTACCGTCGGCCTCTGCGAGAGAAAAGTCGTCATCCACATTCAGAACACGCAACCGTGTTACCGGAGAAAAGTCGTCATCTTTAGTCTTCAATCGCCGTCGTCGGAATGTCGCGCTCGTACCTTGCTGTCGATAAATCGTCTTCCTCAGCAAATTAGGTTTCGGTTCTTTTTGTAAAGAGGGCAAAATCAGAGCAAATGATAAATCGTCTCCACATTTTCTCTCTTTTATGTTGCAGGGGCACACTTGTCATTTTGAATATCATCTTTTCACCTACTCCGACAAAGTAAACGCAGGATTAGTTTCGGAAAGATGTATCAGACAATGTAAACGAGGGACAAAAAACTGACGTGTAAAGTGACCCATATTATTTAGTGTAATCCTGTCCCTCAAAGTAAACGACCCCCTAAAAAAAATTAAGAATTCGGAACGAATATACCGATGTACTTCGTTCACTATGATTGTTTAAAAACAAGACCATCTTATATACATTCCTCTCCATGGTTCTCTGCCTAATTACTGCATGCACAACAAAGTTTTTGTTTCTGGCACACATCTAAACATATGTGAATTAAACAAAAGGGACATAATTTTCACAGAAAATACTTAAACTTTAATTAGTGTGAAGATCATATGCTTATTGTAACTGCTTCAGGCTTGAACTAACACATCATCAATTGGATCATTAAATTTCTTTCATAATGATTGTATGATTGAAATATAGCTTCCAAGAACCGTCCCAAAGCTAATGTTGCAAGCCCACCTATGCTATTGTTCAACACCACTCGACTATGCCCCAAGCTGAACTTTCTCAGACAACATAATAAGAGAATCAAGTTGATCAGCATCTTATTCTGTTGAACGTTCTTTGAGTACTACTTTTTTATCATTTAAGAAAAAAAAAAAAATGTTTGGTAAATGAGAATATTCTGAAAATGATTTATTTAACTTGTGAATTCAGTTAAGGTAAGATCAAGGAAATATGTATGAACCACGGCTTACAGTTTCCGTGCTAACTAAATGCAGGTGAACTACAATCCCTGTAAAAATTGAACAACAAAGCTAGATGCCGTACACCACTGAGCGGTAACTGCACGAAGCATAATACAGATACTCATGCTTGACAATTCCAATTCCAATATCAACATCAGGTGAACAGGACATTGACTATGTATTGACTGTGGTCAAGCAGATCTAACCGGAACTCTACCTTTTGGTTTGGTTTGAACAGGTTCTTGATTTATTGTTTCAAATCACCAGTCTGAATATTGATGAGCAGATAATTTCCTTTTTTTCTCAAATCAAGGATAGAGAAAGCAGAAGAAATAAATGATTTCGAGCAAGAATTGTACAGAACTGTAAGAAAAAACTAAAAATTCTGGATCTGAAGCACCACAATTCTATTATGCTGTAAGCCTGAGATATATCGAAAATTATGAGAACACAAATTTAGAAATACCATTGCTACATATCACCTTTCAGGTTGGATCAATAATTGCAACATCCAGCTGGTACAGGATAATAACTGAACTTCAAATATTAGCAAATAATTACCCAAGACAGAACCAGCTATTAATGAAAATGTGTATAATAGTACTGCAACATCGCGTCTAAAAGAAAGATATTAGATTATTGTTAAAAGAACTACCTTCTCAAAGAGTGATGCCAATGCACTAATTTATCATGTGTTGAGATTCTTTAGGATCAACGATTAGTTGACTAAATCTACTCCTCCATGGAAATGAACTCATAGTCCATATAAGCATATACTCCATATAGTCAACAAGGAAAGAATGCAAAAACAGACCATCATCTTCTACAGTTTAAGTGGACTCTGGGATCGACACTTATAGGACTATTAGATTTTTACAGAAATGTTGTTTTCCACATTCATCCACAATTTGAGTTCTCTAACTTCAGCACCCTAATAAATTACAAGATGTTGAGTTCAGTAGCAGCCTTGGGAACTAGTCTTTTAGGTACCAAAATGGCTGGCATCTATGCCAACACTCATAGAGAGCAGCAAAGGAAGTAGGTGATCACAGTGTATCACACAAAAAACATTGCATGCTAATCAAACTAACAAGTACATTTAGTTCTGTATATGTTTCCCAAGACCGGAACTTCTCATTTTTTACTCTGCTTACAGAGTATTTATAACTAGATTTACTTTGCAGATAGCAGAAGCTGAAAAGGGTATATAAACAGCAAACTTGAGAACTACTCTTTCTCTATGGGGGATATGGTTTGCATCCATGTCAGCTCTCAATGGGCTTAAGGTGATGCAGGATGAATAATATATCACATCATGGTGACCCTATCTGCATGACCATTTGTCGATCACTGGATTCGGTTTTCAGATAAAACAGAATAAAAGGGTTTCTCTCATAATTCACCATCAAAAGCACAATTATTCAAATGACAGAATTCATTTATCAATCTGTGGCCAAGAAAGAAAAGAACGCGGCCTAAATTTGTTAATCAGAAATAAGCATGCAAAATACTAATAAAACCTGAGCTTATGCAAAGCCCCCTTCAACTTATCTTGTCATCCTCGCCTTATTCCTACAAAATCTCAAGTCATCATCATAAATCAAATATTTTACAAGCCTTGAAAATCAAAAGAAAGTTGAAATGGGTAAACTTCATAAATGATTCCTTCCAAAATTCTAACTTATGAATGAACTTAAATAACATACACATAATTACTTTCTCATTAAGAGTACACTTCATGATTTCACTTCATAATACCAATGGAATTATAACGCAAAAACTAAAAAAATAAGCAAAATTAAACATGGAAAACAAAGTAGCATTAATTTTAGTATCAGAAATTTATGAGGGCTTCCACCCCTAATGAGGACCTATGCTTCAGAGATCATAGATTCACAAATTAATCCAAGCTTAATCAACCATAATGTATATAGCTTCGATCAGTGTTGCAAAATACCAAAACCAAACATAGAGATCTATGAGAAAATCTTTTCAGAAAGCATGCGAAGTGCAAATTATTTCATTTTATTAACTTCTGTATATCAATTACAGGAAAATACACCTAAATCGAGATTAAAAAAAAAAAAAACCCAAAAACAATCTTTTTTTTTAAGCTTTTGATCTACGGAATCCATTAAAAAACTACAGAACAAAAGGAGATCATGACTGAGTCTCGAAGAAAAACGGCTTCACGGCCACGAGCTTCTTACGCTGGAGGCACCGAGAAAAACTCTTGACCCTCATGTTAAAACACGGGATCCCATCCATCGCCGAATGCGGCTGGGGGAAACCCGATCCCGAACTCAATTCGAGCTGTGCAAGAGCGATCAGAGTACGCGCGCCGATTTCTTTAGATTTGGCGGTCATCTTAGAGTACCGGAGCTGGGCGAGGGCTCCGGGCTTAAGATATGTATAGAAAGACGGCGCAGATGGCGTCGGCGACCGGGAAGCGCCGCTTCGGACCGCGGTTTTCATGGATAGATGTGGGGGAGAGTGGTTTTGGAGGGAGAGAGAGAGAGTGGAGCGTCCGAAACCCTAGAGAGAGAAATGGAGGAGTGAGTGAGATTGCTGAGGAAGATAGGGTTTTAAAACGGTAGATTCAGAGGCGGGAAAATGGACATGGCGGCCTGGCGTAGTGGCGCGGTTGTTTTTTCAAGTTTTAATTTTAATTTTAATTTTTTTATTTTTATTTTTTGGTTGGGCCGGTCATGGGCTTTCTTCGGGTTTTAAGAGAAAGGTACATTCATATACTTTTGAGAAAATTACCCTCCGTATCATCCTAGCTTTTTATATGGCCCATTATACGAGCTAAAAAAAATAATCGCACATTAGGTTCCATGAAGTCATATTGACGAGATTATAAAAGTTTCAATACCACTTTGGTCCCTTTAATTAATTATTAATTATTTTCTGTGATTTTTCCTCCATCACCGCCCGCCTCTTCACGCAAATAAATTTTTCACCACCATCTTTCACGCACTATCCCTTATAGCCGCCTGTCACCCCTGCGAAGCCCCTTTTCAATTTTCCTCCAGCGATCTATTTCACTAGAATTAAGGTTGTGAAATACAAGGACCGACTTGATGAAGGTGAGCTTCTCCGCCTATGCCACTGGCGGGTGGTTTGCATCCTCATCGCTATCGAATCAGTCGCTAACGTCACCCTCGATTCGATATCTTCTCTCTGTCCGATTCCTTTCTCCCGTCGTCGGCGCCACCGTCACCGTAAGGAGCTGGGAATCGAAAAGGTGTGCTTTACTCAATTATTTGGATCCATAGTTGTGATTTACTGATTTAGGGTTTAGCTTTTTCTTTTTTTTTTTT